CTCCTCCTCCTCCTCCTCCTCCTAACCATCACGAACCAGAAACGAATAAAACCAAAATGCCTTCCCGAATAAAACCAGAACGACGTCCTTATGAAAACCCACTCTCAAGTTGACCAGAGGGCCACGATCCTCGTGAGGGGTGTTCCGGCATTGGGCGTCGGTGGGCCGTCGGCAGCGCTCCACATTGGGCCAGTGCCACGATCCATGTGAGAGGTGTGCCGAACTTCAGCGTCGGGCGGCGATCCAAATGTGGCGATGTCTACGATCCGTGTGAGGGGTGCGCCGATATTGTTCATCGGTGGGCCGTCGGCAGCGCTCCCAGGTGGGCCAGGACACGATCCTCGTGAGCGGCGTGCCGGAATTGGACGTCGGTGGGCCTTCGGCAGCGCTCCCACTTGGACCAGGGCCACGATCCTAGTGAAGTGCGCGCCGGAATCGCGAGTCGGAGGGCCAGGCCCACGATCCTCGAGAGGGTTGTGCCGAAATGAAGCGGCTGGCAGTGGCGGTTGCTCCAAATCCGACGTCGACACGAAGGACAGGTGTAAAACTGTCGTTATTTGTTCACTTCCTAATACGAGTCCAATCTACAGCCTCTACAGCGAATAGTGCACGAAGGTAGGCATTGGCGCGAAAGACACGAATACCAGGTTTGAAACTACGGTTTTCGTAATTCCCCTGGTAGGAGTTCGATTAGGCCTGATACAAAAGAAGAGTACACGAAGGTGAGGTTTGTAGCGACACGAAGACCCGGTGCACCCCTACTACTACTACTACTACTACGACTACTACTACTACTACGATTACTACTACTACTACTAGTACTACTACTACTACTACTACTACTACTACTACTACTACTACTACTACTACTACTACTACTACTACTACTAAACTACTACTACTACTACTACTACTACTACTACTACTACTACTACTACTACTACTACTACTACTACTACTACTACTACTACGACTACGAATACGACTACGACTACTACTACTACTACTACTACTACTACTACTACTACTACTACTACTACTACTACTACTACTACTACTACTACTAATACTACTACTACTACTACTACTACTACTACTACTACTACTACTACTACTACTACTACTACTACTACTACTACTACTACTACTACAACTACGAATAATTACCCTGTGACGTACCCAACCCATTTGTATGATGGGAAACGAGGAGTTGGCCGAAACTTGCACGAACCCTCACATTGCAGGATCCGTTGTTTGATATGTAAGCTGATCGGGACACGCGCCAATGGCATGATGCGCAGAGGAACCATACAAGAACGAGGGGCGACAACTACAGGCTCGAAGAAGACATGGGGAGCCGGGAGCGAAGAGCAGGAGAAAAACGTGCGGGAAGCCCAGTGTGCTGGGCCCCTCAGCAGCCCTCGAAAGTGGCGACAGTTTCACAGATCGCAGCCCCTCAAGGATGGCGATGTCTAATATGAGTCTGCGGTGAGTGCCCACTGTGCTGGGCCCCTCAGCAGCCCTCGAAAAGGGGCGACAGTTTCACATATCGCAGCCCCCCAGGGATGGCGAGGTCAAATCTGAGTCTGCGGTGAGTACCTACTGTGTTGGGCCCCATCAGCAGCCTTCGAAAGTGGCGACAGTTTCACAAATCGCAGCCCCCCAGGGATGGCGAGGTCCCATTTGAGTCTGCGGTGAATGCCCACTGTGCTGGGCCCCATCAGCAGCCCTCGAAACTGACGACACTTTCACAGATCGCAGCCCCCCAGGGATGGCGAGGTCCCATTTGAGTCTGCGGTGAGTACCCACTGCGCTGGGCCCCTCAGCAGCCTCTCGAAAACCTCAGCAGCCCTCGAAAAGGGCGACAGTTTCACAGATCGCAGCCCCCAGCAGCCTTGTGAATCCGCACCCACTGTGCTGGGCCCCTTTTTCAGCAGCCCTCGAAAGTGGCGACAGTTTCACAGATCGCAGCCCCCCAGGGATGGCGAGGTCCCATTTGAGTTT